ATGGCTTTTATACTACCCCTATCTGTATATAATCTGCTCCTATTGCACTTACTTCTCTTGCACTTCTGATTAGATGCAAATTGTATTTCGTTACCCTGTATTTATACATGTGTAATGACAATAAAGTTGAATCCTAATCCTAAAGATCAGAGCTTAGTAAACAGGAAAGTTGGTTGTTTTCCTATTGTGGTAGACTGTTAACACTGAGGTCTTTTGTCACATCCTGAGATGTGTAACCATGCCAAAGTTCAACAAAAGAAAATACAATGTAGTGTTTCTCATGTTTACACATTTCCCATTGGATCAGGTAATTATTATAAACTGCTGATGGCAGTCAGGTGTCATTTAGGCTTAGCAGCAGAAGAGGACATAGCAAGATGACATATTTATAACCACTGCTGTCAAAGCTTTATTTCAGGAAAAGTTAATAGAATCCCATAGAAAAAGTGTATGAATACAGAGTTTTATATCTTAGGGTAAGGTCTTTGGCTAGTCCATTGAGCTCCAGTCTTTTGAGAAGTATTAGTAGTAGGGTCTACTTAAAAAGGAAATGGATAGAAAAATATAGGTATAAGACAATATCAAGGACAGGATTATGAAGATGTCAGTGTTTGAGTTGAAGAGCATCATAGGCATAGCAACACAGAATGTTAGAATAGTGATGAAGAAAAGATGTGGGTTTGAATCTCAGGTTACTATGAATAAAAATTCAAATCAATCAAAAATTTCAAAGTTAAATCAAAAGTAATTTATATTATTTCAGACTTTCTTTCAAATCAAGTTCAGAGTACCAGTGACATTAGCTTTGAGGAAAAAACTGTTGAAGTTGAATGTATCTATTGCAGTGAGTCTGCCAATTTGGTAGAGTGGATTGCAGCCAGGTGATGTTGTGGTGAGGATCATCCCCGTAAGTATTTTGTAACCTGGGTTGTCGGTGTTGTCTGCCGTGACGCATCAAGGTCCATCCACCTATTGTATGTGTCAAGTTAATTTTTTTTTTTAACAAATAATCGTTTTTGAATTTCAAATAAAAATAGTTTTTTAAACTTTCTGAATTCTATAGTATTTATCTTTATTAAATTGAACAAAAACAACTGATGTCACCGAGTCAATGCGTTTCTCGCCATTATAATGGTGAGAAGCGCATGTATACATGCACTTGCAATGGGTTATAAGCAAACTTTCTCGACTAAAGAAAAACACTTCTTCATTTTGTGAATAATTAGAAGCGTTAATTGAGACTAACATAAATCTGCTTCCTCAGTCAAGGTATAAATGAGTACAAGGAAGGAAATTTTTGTTTACACAATGCTTGTACCCACTTACTCCTAATCAAAGGTGCTATATCCAAGCTTATATATGCACAAGGGGTCTAGTAGAGTGCATGTTTGGTGTTTGAAAGAGTCATTTTCAGTGCCTTTGGAATATACTTTGATTCATGCCGAGAAGATGCCTTCAATTCCAACAAACCACAGACAAGGACTTGAACATGTCATGGTCAAATTACTGCATTCTATTCTGTATTTTTTTTATTCATTGCTGGTATATTGAGACTGATGCATCTCACATTTTCATTTCTAATTCTACTTGGAGTGTCTTCTTTTTCATTTCATGCTCCTCCTTTAGATACTTCAACTTGTGTTAATGAAATTCAATAGCCAGCTTTTCATTCATCGTAAGTCTTCTGTTCCTGTGAGCAGTGCTGGCACACATCATAGCTTCTGAGGAAGCTATGCCTTGCAACTCTGCAGTTCTGTCCATTTCACTTCCACCTACACACAAGAAC